TTCGGTTATTATTGTAGAGGGATTGTAATATTGAAATAAACTTCTTGGGCACTCCCTTCAGGGAAAGGCAGCGCCAGAGTTTAGAGCGGTCGACTGAGTCGAAAGCCGCTTTTAGATCGAGGATCGAGTTGAGATAGTCTTTGACTATTCCCTTATATAGACGCTACCTCCAGTTCACTAGTTATTTCGGCCCACCAATTTTCACGGTCTTTCTTAAGGCTATTTGTGAGTTGACGTTGCAGATGACACCGGCTTGAATTCTCCCTCTGTATATTGATGCTGCTTTCAGCGGTCTAATCTTCCGTCCAATTCATCAATATAAGTAACCGAAAGACAAAAACACGAAAGTACATGGTTAATTGTTATATCAACTAGAAAAAAACGAAATCGCCGTTCACTCATCAAAAGCAGCCTCAGTCATGGTGCTTGGAGTGGTGAACTACTTGTGACTTCAATAGCGTGAAGGAGGTGGATGACAGCAAAGCTTCTTCCACAAAAGTTTCGTGGTAATGATGGAAGAGATCAAACCTCAAGCCAGGTAATTCGAAGCGCGTCAGTAACTTGAGCTAGTCGACCAACGCATTGTTGAGCCCTTACGTTTTTCAATATTTTCCTGTAGCCAGTCATAGAAGTGGATATACTGACAACATCAATGTCGAAGGTCATCAGTGGACGAAATCATTGATCGATGCGCTTTTTCTTTTCCCTAATTATTCACAATGTGTTTCTAACACTTTCGCCTGTTTCTTTATTGATCCTAAAAGAGAATCGTAACGGGATTCATAGAACTAATATATTAACTCCAGGAGAAGGTAAAACAATTTGTGTTTATCTTTCTACAACCACGTCGATACTGAATCGGATGTGCTTATCGCTATACAACTAATGCTTTCACAATGAACGGCTTTTTGACGGTCTTGTTAAATATGCAATTTTCGGCTGTCAGCATTTATGCAAACGGCTTCGTGCATACCGATTTTCGTCGCCCCTCTTTAATAGCCTAACGATGACTGGCGAAGGAAATAAAAAATGGGATTATCGAGTGGTGATAGTGACGGGAGTGGTGGTAGCTTTCTAACACATTATTTCGAACCCAATGTTCTAGTGACCTATATCGTTGTCCAATCTTTTCCATTGAGTGTCGTTCACCTTCCCATGTTCCTTACCCTTATGAATTCAATAATGTTTATCTTTTCTCTCACCCCTGTTTTCCACTAGACTAAATCCAATGAAGTCAGCTTTTCCGAAATCGTTGAACTGCGTCTCCAACCGGAATCACCACATCATCAGTTTTACTTGCAATCCATTGGGTCTGGGCATTTTGTGGCTACTCAGTCTGCTGGCGGGGAGCAAATGATCGTATTCCAGATCCCATCAGGATCTACCGCAGCACCCGCTGCTATGCTTCAAATCGAATTACCGCCATCTGGTTTTGTGTTGGGTCTGGCATTAGGCTTCCACTGGCCTAGTTCTTCGGTTAGTCGATTTTTTTCCTTTTTCCTCATTTTTTAGTGTTGAAGCTTGGTACGGGACTCTAGGTCTCTGAGCTCAATCTATATATTTCGAACGCCCAGTATGTGTTGCGCGTTTGCGTTAGGTTCGCCAGTGTCGGTATTTTGTCAGTTGTCTCTATCTTTGCGGTGTGGTTCATCACCAAATCTCCAGCTGTCTTATGTTCTAGTCCCAGCACCACAGCCACTCAACTATTTTCTTTAGTTCCCATGGAAACATTGATTGATCAGCCCCTCCTCGAAAAAAAATAATTTGGGCATATAATTATGTCTTAAAGAAGAAAAACAGAATATAAAAGCCACATTACCTTGCTCGTTTTCTCACGTAGATCATCCTTTTGTGGTGAAATTCTATCATGACGAAACCGCCACCTGAAATGGCGAGGTGACTTATGCCCCCATGACCGTGTGATCTATACACGATTGCTTATAACAGCCTCAGGTCCATTCATCGATGAAAGGTCAAGGGCAGAGATCAGATCAAACCCAGTCTCGTTGGGGTTGAATGGTTAAGATACCTAGCTTCTTTTGATCATACATTTCCACCCTCGTACAAGTCACTGAGAGGAGCAGATTACCGATCGAAGAATCCCGCTAGATGAACTTATGAGAGGGGTTCTCAGGGCTCCCTCCCGCCCGTAGAAAAATTCTTCTCACTTCAATGCATAGCTGTCGCCAGTCCGTGTTGGCTAGCTCTCGTCAATTAAGGTATTGCTCCGTTCACGTTCCTTTTTGTCTCATTAGGGCACAAGGGTTAGGCCCGTTCCAGAACAGCACATCAACAATCAACGCACCTACGAACAAAACCAGAACCTAAACCCCATGCGTAAGAGGTCTATGACAGCTCACAGACGTGTGCTTTGGTCACGTTCTTGCCTTCTGGGTCAGACCTTTGAGTCGACTTTGCTGATGAATGTTCAGAATGGATCCCGTTTCGTTGGTGTTGGTCAGTTCAAAGTTTGCCACGCCCCATCCATCTAGTTTATTTTCTCACTCGCCAATCTCATTAGATACCCCCTGCTTCTTCTATTCTGGATATCTCACTCAGAGTTCATCTATACCATTTCAAGATAGCTTTGAGAAACTATAATTTTCATTTGCGAAACCGTCAG